CCCTCTGGTAATCACCATACTGTTGTATGTGTCGATGGAGCATTAAACTTTTAAGGAAGGAAACTAAAGTGGAAACCATTTCGGGTGGTCCTTGCAATACGATTGAGGATTGGAAACATCTGTCCCTCAGTCTGCTGTTAGCAGCAGGTGCTTGAGGCGGAAGGAGGAGGGGTTCTTCTCATCACTGAGTGGGGACAGAAGGGAGAAGACTCCCTGCTGGCCCAGGGAGCTGTCAGACCTGCTCTCCCCAAGCATACCCCTGGCATGCAATATTGATGGGCGCCATCCTTAGGGGATGGATAGCAAGAAGAGGAAGGGGCAGTAGGTGTCAGAAGAATTTATTAACTCAGTGAGGTGCAAGAATGTAATGAATAGGGAAGTGGTGAAGTGAAATTAATAGCAGGGAATGAAAAACAAAGAAGGAATAATGATAGAAATCTTTTTTGTGTTTTCAAGATGGAAGTAGTGCTGAAATTGGAAACATTTGCAAGCACTTACCGGAGCGACTTAGGGACCAACCGTCAAGATTTACCAAAGGTCAGAGTGTTTAAATTTACATTTTCTTTATTTATATAAAGAGATGATATTAAAATCCATTACACAGAAATAGTAGAAAATAAATATAAACAGGTCTGATTCACGTGTTTGCAGAGAAGGGTTTATATCTCGTGTTATGTAAGCTATTTAAGCAAACATTGAGTAAATATTCGTTGCAGATGATGTGAAAATGAACACAAAGCAAAAATTAGCTGCAGAAGCAGCAATTAAGTAGAATTTCAGGAATGAGCGCCGATTAAATTTTTACAGGCTTTTCAAAGTCCAATAATGACAATATCATGGTAAACGCTGGACGGGTTCTGAGGCCGCCAGCACAAGGCGGTCAGGCAGGAGTTTCCAGTTCCTGTCAGAGGGCTTTTCCCATATTTGCCTGCTGTGATCAGTGAGGGGACCATCTCTTACACAGAAGTGCATCAGTTACAAAACTTTCACAAGAGCAATTGCATGTGCTGCTCATGGCACAGGTGGTTAGGATAAGGATTTACGTTACTTCTTTTTCCAGAAGAGGAAACGGAAACCTGGAGATATTAACACACCTGCCTAAGGCTGCACTAGTCACAGGCAAAGCTAGAATGCAAACAGAATCGTTTGGTTTCCTTCTCATAATGGTGTATTTGGGGTTGCTCATCTGGGTCCAGGGCCTTGAGAAATTTGTTTGCCTGTTTGCTAGAGCAGGTTCAGAGTTGCTTATTGAAAAGAAGCTGTCTCCGTCCACCTCTGTGTGGGGCCGAGATCCCTTCTAGTAACAGGCATGTCTT